ACACAACAAATTAGTCACCTCTTCTTGCTCCTTAAAATGTCTCTTCTTACCCACTCAGTCTAAATCAAGAGTCATAAACCCAAGTGCCCAAGGACTGGGCTGATCATGCGGCAGTGGACCTGGTGGTGTAGGACTGGGGACCATGAGTGAGCGCATGTCTCATCATTTGAAGACAGCTGCTTCCCAGCAAACAATTGTGGCCATCAGGAATACACCAAATTTTCCCTTGCCTTTCAAGCTAAATAAACCTCCAAATCATGTTCTAGAAATCAGAACATGAGTACTCAAACCCAGTCTAGGACCTAGTTATCTATACTACCTACCAGCTGGCCACTCTTCACAAAGTAGGCCAGGAAAGCCCCAGAGGGGCAGGCCATCAGGAAGACTTCCTGGGCATTGTATGTAATTTTTGGTCTCACCTGGCTGATTGCTTGCACATTCACTCATTTATTAATTCTTTCATTCAACCAACACACTCTGCCTTCCTTCAGAAGCATTGTCCCAGTTCTTATCTGAAGCTGATCTCTCCACTTGTGCATGATGACATGTCCCCTTTCATCTACTCAGGACATCACTCTGGCAAGTCTCCCTTCAGTGTTCTGCATGATTAGTGTTTCTCTCTCCCTTCTTGATCCCTGCCACCAAAGAAACATGTTGTAACTTCTCATCTTTACAAAACCACCCTCACTGGCTCCTATATTCCTGTCCAGCTACCAACACATTTCCCTGCTCCCTTTTAAAGAAAATGCCAGCAGAGCTGTCTACATTCAGGATGTCCCATTATCCATTCTCTGGGACCCGCTTCAGCAGGCTTTCCGCTCCACTGGTCCACCAGAGGAGTTCTTGCCACGACATCAGTGACCACCACATTCCAGGTCCAGTGCCAGTCCTCAGCTGTCCTCTGCCTGACCTGCCATAGCCTGACACAGATGCATCGCACCCCTCCTCCTCTACAGGGTTTCTTTGCTTGGCTTGGACAATACCTCACTTTGCTGGGCTTCTGCTGTGCTGTTCTGACTTTTGTCCCTACTACTCCAAATTTTCCTGCCTCGGGGCTCAGTTTTCAGGACTTTCCTCATAATCACCCTCCTGGTCATATCAGCTTGTCTCATGGCTATAAATATCACTTATATGCTGACAACTCCTATAATTATATCTCACCAGACCTCTCCTATCTCCCAACTCTTACATCTATTTACTTATTCTACATTTTCACCAGGATGTTTAATATGTATCTCCAACCTAATATATCCAAAACTTAATAAATCTCTAGCAATCTGTCCACAAACCTGATTCACCCATGGTCTGTCCCATCTCAGGAGATGGCAACTCCTTTGTTCCAGCTGTTTAGGCCCCTAGTCATAAAAGTCATCTTTGACCTTTTTCCCCCTCATCCCACTGAATATCTGATTTTTTTCATAACAAGCTGGAAATCGGGGTTTCATGTGAAATTCCCTAATTTTTAAGCATTGACAACTCAAGAAAAACAAAACACCTAAATGAAAGAAACAAGGAGGCCACTCCATGGCTTCTCAATCCACCTACCATCGCCCTGCTGTGAGAGGGAAGGCCAGCCAACCCCGGGGCTTCTTGTCTGGAGACCACCACGGTTGTTCTGAGCCCAGCAGAGGGATTTTAATTCATGCTGAGCTCCCAGAGGCCCACAGGCTCTTTGGGAAGTATAATGGCCTGAATGTCCAGGATAGTCTATTTCAGCTTAAAAATCTGGATCACTATTTTACATGAACTTGAAACAAAAAAGAAATGTAACTATCTGCCTGAATTTTCAGCCCTTCTTAATTGTAGGGGGGGGGGGGGGAAGTAAGAAAAAAATGTTTCTAGAGATGGATCTCTGAAAAAAAAAAAAAAAATCAGAAAACAACCCAAAAATAAACAAACAGAAAAACCCACCAAAAGCATTTTCTGGCAGAGGGAAGGTAAAAAAATGCTCTATGATCTGGTTTCAACATTCCTAAAAAGGCAGCAAAGGGCTGAGAGAAGGCATTTCTTGGAACAGTGTTACCACAGAACAATAGCCCTGCTACCCCCAGGGGTGAGCTGCAAGGACACAGCACTAACTCCTGCCAGGCTGCAGGCCAACTGACTAACTGTGGAGCTGCTCCCCAGTTCCCCCTTCATCACATACTCTAGGACTATGCTAATAAACTAATGACATTTCCAAAATAGCACTATTTTGTTGAGCGAGGAAGACAGGACCATCCTAACCATTTTGATAATTTAGATCTCAAACTTGTTTTCTGAGAAATGTATTTAGGGAATATTAAAAAACAAAACAAACAACAACAAAAAACTGGGTTTCTGAGAGAGGAGCCAAGGTCTAGCAAACAAGTCTATCTTCCCCCTAAAAACTAACTGGTCTCCATCTGCTTGTTTTTCTTTGTCAAATAAAACAAATGTGAGAAGTGCCTGTGCAACCAGGCTATGACTGAAAAGGACAGTGTACTCAGTTGGGTAGTAAGGTAAAAGTCAGAATCCCAACGAACCAAGGGGATTTCTTGGCACTGGGGACCATGTTACAAGAAAACACGAATCTTTAAACACGAGGATGACCCTGTTTGAGAAGTGAAACCAACTGACAGGATGTCAGATTCTTATGTCTTAACATATTTATCCCAGGAGGAGTGCTCACTGTGCAGAACTCAGTGGGATGGTGGGTAGAACTGCTCATACTATTTTTTAAAATAATACTTTATTAAAAAAAATATATATATATAAATATATATATATATATATATTATTGATTTCAGAGAGGAACGGAGAGGGAGAGAGAAAATCATTGCTCAGCTGCCTCCTACATTACCCCTACTGGGGAGGAGCCTGCAAGCCGGGCATGTGCCTTTAACTGGAATCAAATCTGGGACCCTTCAGTCTGCAGGCCAACACTCTATCCACTGAGCCAAACTGGCTAGGGCTGCTCACACTATTTTTTAAAATATATTTTTATTGATTTCAGAGAGAAAGGGAGGGAGATATAGAAGCATCAATGATGACAGAGAATCAATGACTGGCTGCCTTCAGCATGCTCCACACTGAGGATTGGACCCTTAAGTAGGGCATGTGCCCTGACCAGGAATTGAACTGTGACCTCCTGGTTCATAGGTCGACACTCAATCACTGAGCTGAACCAGCCTGGCTGCTCACACTATTAACGATTACTTCGCCTTTGCACTCTCATCTTCTTGCTTGCTTAGCTGGATCCAGTCAAATTAAGCCACTGCCCTATTACACACAAATTCAGTTCTAGGGGTCAGCTATCATAGTTTGCCGGAACATGGTTCAAACAGGCAGGGTTATGAGACATTATTAAAATGAATCAGGCCCACATTGTCAAGCAAGACAGGTTACTTCATAAGGCCAAGGACTGAGAGGCAATTAATGCTTCTCTTATTCTATCCCTTGACAATGATACCTGTTGTTTGCTTTCCTCAAACCACAGTTGGTATATTTTTGAGTTTGCCTGTATTGTGCTATAAAGAGGAGAGAATCAAGAGACTACAGTATGTTGGAGAAACATGCCAAGATAATAGGTAGGGAGGAAAGCACACAACATACTTATAATCCTTATCTGGGGCCATGACAGAGTCTGTACAGAAAAGGAAACATTTCTACCATGAAGTCCATCCTCATTCCTGTGGTGCTAGACTATCGGGAGGACTTTGGCTAAGGAACCATGAAGAGCAAGTTTTCTGCTCACTCAGGAATGCTCTGGCGCGACAAACTGGAGAGCCAAGCCCAGCTCAGTGGGAGCTCGGCTGCTCATGGCTACGTTTCAGGATCAACCTGACAGCTTGGCCTCTGCTCAGGAAACCTGAGTCATCTTTCTGGTTCAACACAGTGAGTCAGAGGCTGAAGGATGGGACCCAAACACTCACAGTGAGACAAGTGTTGCAACTTGGCTGCATTGGTTGCTGAATTAGAACAGCACCAGGGACAGTGCCAAACAAGCACATTGCCAAAACAATGCCCTCCACTGAGCATGACTGAATTCACTTCATGACTGAATTCACTTCATCCTCATGACAACACTTTGAGGTTTTACTTTTCTCCTTATTTTGCGTATGAGGAACTAAGGCACAGAGCCTAAGCTAGACAGCAGGTAAGAGCAGAGTAAGCCACACACTCACCTTTCTTGCTTCAGAGATTATTACTTGAGATATTCCATCTGCACTCAGGTCTGTTCCTCCCACTTTACATGATTACCTCTCATACTGCTCACAGTATCCTCTGTGGACATGGAGGCAGAGAAGTCTAACTTCTGCTGAACCACAAGTTCAGTAACTATCAATCATCCAGGAAGTGGCTATTCCAGGATGTGACTGAGGGAGTCCACTCTTGGCCATGCCACCACACTGCTGTTAGCATCTTAACTCCCAGCACCACATGGAAAGAGCTATTAAGACCCTCATTTACAAATGAGGAAGCAGAAACTAAGCTAGCTGCAGAAGCTGGGTCTGTACCCAATCTGTTCCTGACTATGACATACAGATGGTTTATCAGAGGTCCAGGTAACCCAGGAACTGGTGGGTCCTTTCCCAATAGGCAGCTAAATGCCCTGAAGGTTATTCTAAGTAGAAAGGCATAGGGATCGATATCATCAAGGCCTCTCCCCATCACAGCCATGCTTCTTGCAAGAAAAAGACTTCCCTCAGTTTCCCATCTGTTACTGCCCTTAGACTGACCATGCACCCTAAAATCTTTTTTTTTAAATATAATTTATTGATTTTTTACAGAGAGGAAAGGATAGGGATAGAGAGCTAGAAACATCGATGAGAGAGAAACATCGACCAGCTGCCTCCTGTACACCCCTCACCGGGGATGTGCCAGCAACCAATGTACATGCCCTTGACCGGAACAGAACCTGGGACCTTTCAGTCCGCAGACCGACGCTCTATCCACTGAGCCAAACCAGTTTCAGCCACCCTAAAATCTTAAATCTACTCCCCTTCCCTTACCATCCCCATACTGTTGTTTCCACTTACGCTTTAAATGCTGGGAGGTAGGAGTATATAGAAATGCTGCTTAGGTTATAAATAAATGGCAGGTGTTTTCTGATATCTGTTGTTGCCCAGCTGCTAAAAAACATGTTCAGTAAACCCTGGTCCCCACCTGAAAGAAAAATAAAACAAAAACAAATTAAAGTCACAGACCCAAGGGACTATTCAATAACTTCATAGGACTACTAGGTGGACCGGTTAATAATGCAGATTTTGTAATTAAAAAACACATGATAATTTTAAGAGAAACATCAAAAGCACTTTACTCAAAGTAATGGCTATCGCTAGCTATGCATTTCCCCAATATTTCAGGTAATTTTTGGACACCATCCCAATAGGACTTTTCTTGTTTTGAGGCAAACTATTCAAAGACCCAATTTTCCACTTCTTCGTTTATTTTGAAGTGCTGCTCAGAAAGTGCATGTGCCATTGATCAGAACAAGTGGTAATCTGAAGGAGCAAGGTCTGATGAATATGGCGGGTGGATTAATACTTCCCAGGCAAGATCTTTTAATGTGTCTTTAACTGGTTTTGAAGTGTGTGACAGTGCATTATCATGAAGCAAAATTACTTTGCCATGTTTTCTGGCCCATTCTGGTTGCTTCAGGATCAAGGCATGGTTCAAATTGATTTATTTGTTGTTGGTTGTGATCTGTATTAATGGTTTTAGAAGCTCATAATACACCACACCTTCCTGATCCCACCAAATGCAGAACACTGTCTTCTTTCCGAAGTGATTTGGCCTTGCAGTCAGTGTTGATGGTTGACCTGGATCAACCCATCATTTTATGCGTTTGGAATTCTCAAAATAAATCCAGTGTTTACAAGTATCTTGAGATGAAGCATGTTCACCATAAGCTTCCCAAAGTATACAATAACTTTCAGCAGTACTTTTCTTCAAAATAAAGTAATGAATTAAAACTTTCTGCAAATGCTTTTTTGGCATGAAATTTAATATTTTTAAACATAAAAGTATGTATAATGTTAACACTTTCAGAAAATTTGACATATGAAGTTTTGAAGCTTGCTGTCAACACAACAAAACAGCATACACATCAAATTGTATATATATTAAAATATGTGTAACTCCATCTATTGAAAAAAAATCCACATTATTAACCAGTACATCTGGTATATACATAGACCTTTCAAAACAGATACTAATTCCATGTTAAACCTAAGGACATTTTAGGAAGTGGTCATTTCTCTAAGTTAATTCATTAATTCAACAAATATTTACTGAGCAACTACTATGTGCCAGACACTGCAGCAGGCACTGGAAAGTCATTATCTTCACCAGGATTTGGGAGGGGTGGGGTCAGGGGTACCAATACCAGCAAACCAAGAATTAATAAACATCATCAGAAACAGGGAAGAAGAAACAACCAAGATGGTGGCATAGGTAAACACCTCTTCTTGCTGCCTCTCACAATCACATCAAAACTCCAACTAAAAGACAAAACAAATATTCAGAACCATAGGAAAGCTGGTTGGGTGGAAGTTCTCAGGGGGATGTGGGAGGAGATTGGACAAAAATCTTACACCTATAGATGAGGACATTGTGGGGGAGGGTGTAAGGGCATGGTGTGGGAACTGGGTGGAGGGGAGTTATGGAGGGAAAAAAGAGGAACAACTGTAATAATCTGAACAATAAATATTTATTAAGCCCTAACAGGTTTGGCTCAGTGGATAGAGGGTTGGTCTGTGGAGTGAAGGGTTCCAGGTTTAATTCTGGTCAAGAGCATGTACCTTGGTTGCAGGCACATCCCCAGTAGGTAGTGTGCAGGAGGCAGCTGATCGCTGTTTCCCTCTCATTGATGCTTTTTTTGTTTTGTTTGTTTGTTTAAATATATTGTATTGATTTTTTTACAGAGAGGAAGGGAGAGGGATAGAGAGTTAGAAACATCGATGAAAGAGAAATATTGATCAGCTGCCTTTTGCACATATGGGGAATGTGCCTGCAACCAAGGTACATGCCCTTGACTGGAATTGAACCTGCAGCCAATGCTCTATTCACTGAGCCAAATGGGTTAGGGCAGGCAGAATACAGCTCTTTTGAAGTTCAAGGCTGGTGCACTGAACAGTTGTTTCTCTCCTCAGAATGCTTTGCCCTGAGACCCAATTTTCTTTGTAAACACACAGCTGGTCTCATTGGTTGGCATTACTATTTGTTTTTTCTTGGTTTTGAAAGGAACTTTTAAATAATGAGATTTATTTAATACTTGGAGCTAAGTAATAAGACCAGGGTATTAAGTTTAAAGTCCAACTGTCCCTTACCCATCCTCTGTGTGTTCCATCCTTTCCAAATGCCCTCAGTCAGCTCTTTGGATCAAGAGCATTTGTTCAACCAATGTCTATGGAGCAACCTCTTTGTACGAAGAGGCTCTCATAGGTCCTCATTCCTCAAGAGACAGACAGTTCAACAGAAAACTAGTTTTGCCCTTGTAACTTCTAAAGAATAATAAAGATGGCATCAGGATATATGCTCACTTGTTATTAGAACAAAAGAAGATTTTTAGATATATAGACAAATTAACATATTTTGAGAAATAAAATATTAAGGCTAAAACACCATATTCATTAGAAGCTCACTTTGGATTCCACACACACACAAAAAAAAGAGGTACAGAGACCTAAAGTCTTACTCATTTCCTTTAACACATAATCATCATAAATGACAAAATAACAGACATAGAATAGATGCAAAGTGGCAAGGGGTTAGATAGGGTGGCAGAGAGCATGAGGAATCCTGTGATGGACCTGCTCTTTACCCTGACTGCAGTGGTGTCATACAAATCTACACACAGGATAAAAATGCACAGAAGCACCTGTGAACACATACCAATGAATACATGCAAAACTGGTAAATCTAAATAAGGCTGGTGGATTGTATCAATGTCAAATTCCTGGCTCTGGAGTTATAATTATGTAAGATGTTGTTACCACTAGGGGAAACTGGTGAAGGGAATATGGGATCTCTATATTGTTTCTCACAACTACATGTAAATCTACAATTTGCTCAAAAGTTTTTGGTCTTTTTCTAAATCTAAGAGTTATGTTCTTAAAATGCAAAATGCAATCAAGAACTGATAGTCATTAGATTCTAAATTCCCAAGGACAGGGTGTATGGCTCTTTTTATTTAGCACTGTAAATTCGAGCAGCTAGCAGAATGCCTTACACATAGATAAAATATTTGTAGGATGAAAGTGAGAACCTTGAAGATATTCTGTAACAGTAGAAAAGTTGAAATAACTTAAATATTCCACCATAGAGGAACTGTTAGTACACTGTTATGCTAACCATTCATGGCAATATTATTTAGCCATTAAAACTAATGGGTTATAAAGATCACCATCCATCATGTAATATAAACAAATACTGTGACATACATCGCGATTATAATTAAAAGCATAAACATTCGTATGGGGGGGGGGGGAAAGTAAATACTATGTAAGAAGAATGGTATTACATATGTTCCCTCACCCTGACTTTTTCTTAATACTATTACATTTTTGTAATTTTAAAGTAACAATACAATCAGGGACAAGAATGAGAATTTTTTGAATTGTGTTAAGATCTTTCCTTTCTAAACATTCTTTGCTTGTTAATTTTTTCTTGTTATAAAGCATGATACTATCAAAGGAAAAATATATGTATATGTTATAAAACATATCCTACCTATCGATAATAAAAGAATAATATGCAAAAAACCAACATGGAGGCATAAGTAAACAACTAATCTCCCTCCTCACACAACAATTTTAAAACTACAACTAAAAGACAAAACATCTATCACTCAGAACCACGGGAAAGCTAGCTGAAAGAGAAAGGAGCACAAGCTCTGAAAAGCTGAAAAGCCTAGGTATGGAGGCACACGAATTGGGCTGGTAGCGGGTGACTGGGTGGTGGCTTTTTTTCAACCAGAAAGGAAACAAGCTTCCGATCACTTTGAAATCCAGTTTCTGGGGTGAGTCAGGGGTCCCAGATGCCTATGGGGAGAAGCTGGTCTGTCCTGTTGACCATTGGATCCAAAAGTGAGGGTGACTTTTTTGCAGAGATGCACACAGCAATCATTGTTTACTGCACTGGAGCGTGGGGACTTGGAAATACGGAAAGGCAGAGACAGCTGATGGCACCCATTGCTGTTTGCCACACCCCAGCCTAGTGACATCCTGAGGCCCCGACCCACACATTCTACAAACCTGCCCAGGCTCCACACAGCTGCTTTTGCATATAAATGGCCTATATTGTGGCAACTTAACAAAATAAACTGCAGCTCCAGCTCCAAAATGGCCAAATCCCAAGCAAAAAGGAGAAAACTGTAGTTCTTGCGGTAGCTCCTGCTGGGTGGCCTCAGGCAGTAGATGAATTGCACCCCATTGGAGATCCAGAAACTAGTGAATCTAGTGGTCAGTGTGAGTCGACACCAGTCAACTACTCTCATAAGGGAGACATTCAAGAGGCAGACTCAGTAAGCACCAAAGCCCTACGGGAACAAGTCCTCCTCCATAAACGTGGCTCTAACACAGAAATTCTTCCATTATAGACACAGCGGGTCCTCATAGCCAATTGGCCTAGAGGTCAATTCTACCCAGTGACACCAACAACAATCAAGACTTAACTACAACAAGGATGTACACACAGTCCACAAAAGGGTGCACCAAGAGTGTCCAAATCAGGCAACTGGAAGGCTGACCCATTGAACCATATAGGACACCCAGGCCCACAAAGCTACCCTATCAACTCAGGGAAGCAGCGAAAATGCCAAGAAAAGGAAGGAGATCTCAAACAAAAGAAATGGAGGAGGACAAAAGACTGGATATAGAGTTCAAAACCATGGTTATAAAGTTTTCCAAGAATTTCCTAGAAAAGGCTGATAAATTTAATGAGACGCTCAAGAATATGAAAAAGAAATTAAACCAACTAGAAATGAAACATACACTGACTGAAATAAAAAATATTATACAGAGACCCAACAGCAGACTAGAAGAACGCAAAAATCAAGTCAAAGATTTGGAATACAAAGAGGCAAAGGACACTCTTCCAGAAAAGCAAGAAGAGAAGAGAATCCAGAAATGAAGATAGTGTAAGAAGCCTCCTGGACAACTTTA